GAATCGACCGGAATGATACTAGGTCTTCGAAATATGTTGTGTTACGCCATGTGAGTGAGGTTACCAGAAGCCCAATCCTTCCGAATTCCTAATCCCCAAAAGGCCAGCTATGCACTTGCAACTTCTACAATGTTGCGGGTGTCTATGAGCGGCGCCGATTGCTTACCATCAGGTAATACGACTGATCGTTTGCCGCTATCTATACTAATATTATAAAGAAGTAAAATATGTAAGTTTCTATGTTTGTATGTTTGTAAGTTTGTATGTTTGTATACTTGTATGATCGTACGTTTGTAAGTTTGTATATTTTTAAGTTTATATGTAGGAGGTAAATATCTTTGGAACCACTGGTCGGATTCCCAAAATTCTTTCACTTATTGTTAGCTATAATGTTCGCGAGTGCTATAAGCTATAAAACATCACGCTACAATCTGACAGACAAGATGACTGCACGGTTGGTGCGGTGGCCGGGCAACTGGCTGCCGTGCAACGTGTCGCGGCTTCGATTTCGCACGGAACAACACTTTGTGTGATCCACAAATTGTTGTTCCGGGTCTGGGTGTCTTGTGTATGTGAAATTGTATGTTTGTAACCGCATCCACGGCACAGGAGAAAATCCTAATGTGGGGCAACGTTTTTTTTTTAAAAAAAAGTCTTATGGAGCCGAGCAGCGAGTGAAACCGCGGTGTAGTTAGTATGACATAAATAAAGAAAGAAAAAGACTTATGAAAATCAACTGAAAACCAAATCCAATTCAATGAACAAAAACACAATAATAGTCACTTATAAATAATAACAATATAATTCAGCAGTTCAAACTAAAACAATGTACTGGGGTACTTTATTTTCGAACGGAACCCTAGTTACGGAGTGAGAAACAACTAAACTCATAAATCTACTGAAACTTACACAATATTGCTCAATGTTTAGGCAGTTTTCGTTCAAACAAGGCATATTTGTAATCGATTCCGTTTGTACAATTGAATCGCTTTTACGTTTTTCTATGTTGAGTAAAGTGATATTAGCAATTCTTATTAATAGTTTATGACAGTAGTTATAGTATGGGAACGCTATTTGGAACGACTAGGCACACGGCCTCACAGTAAACCGACGTGGAACATCCGCAGTTTTGTGTTTCTGAGTAAAGTTACCAAAGGCCTTATCATTCTCCTGCGTCATCCCTCTGCAATCCTTGACGGCAACGCTCTTTCAACTCCTTTTCTTTTGCGATTGTCCATGGGCGGCGCTGATTTCCCCCGAAATAGAAATAACCATTCAAAATAATTCGTCGTGTGATCCTAAAATTGTTGTTCTAAGTCTGATTGGGACGATAGTGTATGTGATATTGTTGGTTTGGGCACACGGCATAGGAAAAAACTTGGTGTAAGGCAATGTTTTTTAAGTGATAGAATTTAATCTTTGGATGAGGTATAACATTTTAATATTACAAACTTTTTGTAACATTCTTTATTTAAGCTGTCATCTCCAGTAGAGTCCTCCGTTGGGGCTAAAAATGGAAGAACTAGCCAGCTCCTGACGAATCATGACTCATCTACACTGTTTAAACAACTCAATTTCTTCATACAGTTCTTCAATATTTGAAATTGTATTGTATATTTCCTCCAAAAATAACTCCGTCTAACGACTTTAGCTTCCACCTATCTCTATACAAAACAAAAGCGTGATATCTGCCAAAGTTTTATGGCGAGACACGTAAAATGGCCACCATTTTCTTATCACGGGTGATTCATAACATTCATTTTATTGTTTCAGGTACAGGCGACATTGTGACACGTCACTACTGGAGTGAACGATAAGTTATTTGCCAAAATTTTGCCAAATTCTAGCCAGGATTGAGATGCCCTCGATTCCCAAACGCGGGGCTACGCGGGGCGCACTATGCGTTCGTCATCCATTGCGTCAGTAGACAGCATCATTGCCCGCGCACAAGCTACATTATAAGTAATGTATGACGAACGAAATAATGTGCGTCGACACCAAAAATCAGACCTAAAAACTTAAGTGCTCAAAACCTTGACCAACATCAGCAGTGGTGAAGTTTCTAGCTTGTACATAGATCTATGTTATCAACGATAATTGTTTTGTTTTCAGTTTAGGACTATGATTAATTTGCCTTCCAGGACAGTAATCGATTTAAGCTAAAGTAAAAGATTTCACTTTTTATTACTTTAAGTTTTATTGAGGAATATAAATAGTAATAGAAATATCATCGCCTCCGTTCTTCATACCACACTAACTCAGTCATTTCTCGCTGAAAACTCTTTCACTGGATGACTTTTTCAAAGAACCAAACATTCTAATGTTTCATTATCCCACCAGCTAACGGAGCCGACCTTCAAACGAAGGTGAATCTTACCAACATTAACCAAGAAGTCCACACAACACTACCAAACATTAAAGATTCAATTCCACAAAATTCTACCAGTAAATTTGTCCCTCACAAAGCGTATACTAGCCAAAATTATATCAGCAATATAAACTTTATGGCTAACTTGAACTTCATAAAAGAAAATAAGCTCAACCAGCTGGTACCTACGTTGGAAGGTGGAACTAAAAACCGTAGCAAACCAGTTCCATCCAGTTAATACCAGTGCGGCATTTAGCGAACGTTCCAGAACAAAATGGCTGAACAAGATGGCTACCTTGATTCCTGCTAAAGGAAATTAGAGGGTGTTTCTTTTTGTTAATAGCAGATTGTTTTTTTAAAAGTAGATTTTTTGAGCTCTTTTTTATTAGGTTCTTGTTTGTTTATCAGTTTAATGGAATCTCTAAATGTATTTTTTTGTTATTTCGCTAAAAGATATTGATATTTCTCTGCTTACTAGACCAACGATGCCTTTATACCTTTAACTTGGTTTTGGAAAAACGAACGTGGTTGTTGAATACGATTTTCCAGGTTTAAGTATCATTTGTATTTAGAATGTTTGTCTGCTAACCCAAAAACGGTATAAAAGAAAATCCTAGTGTTATGTTACAATCTAAAAAAGAAACGAAACGTAAGTAAATTTCACTTAATATCATGTATAAAACGGTAAAAAAATTTTGCACACAAAATTTCTTTTTTACATAAAATGTGGATTTGCATTCAGTTAGCACTACATGGCAAACTCTATTCTGTGAGCCTTAAAATACACTTCATGCTTTGACGCGAAAAGCCCACACAGTGGTACTAAAATGTAAAAAACGAAGCCAAAATGTTCGTAACATAGTACAATGGTTGACAAAAGTGTGTAATACGATTTTTGAACTCAAAAACGAGTTTAGTATTTTTCTTGGACTTCACGTCGTCCAGCAATGAATATATGCGAACTAATGATGAAGAGAATTTTCACATACATGAGGTTGCAGTTGTATTTGAGGTTAATTGCTTTTTCGGATTCTTTTTCGAAATGTTAGTGTTACATTGTTCTCACATAATCGAATCGACTAAATGAAAAAGAAATGAATTGTGACACTGATTGAAAAATAGTAACCATGGAGTTTCTTGGTCGTTCTTCTTCATAGGGATCTACATTTTGGAATGACGAAATAACTTCACTAGAGGACAAACGAACAGACACGCATAAAGTTAAACCTTTTGATATTATTTTTTATTTTGCTGGACTTTTAAATGTGCCTTTTTGGTCTATTTGAAATTAATGACTTTGACTTTGTTGACTCACATAATGATTCTACGAGGGTGTTGTAGTCAGTAAGTGTATGAAAATCTTTTTAATTTTTTAATTTATTGAACACTTAATCTAACTTTTTTACTGCCTGTACAACTATGCAAAGCCCCCAATTGTTTAATTTAATTTGTTGAGCGTGCAGTGCCTTCTGCAGCATCCAGACATATGTAGTGCACTGGTACATAAATGTATATACATATACCTACAACTACATAATGTATATGTCGCAGCTAAATAACAGAAGGAGCCATACAATCAACGGCCTGAATGATTTATTGTTCAGAGGAGGAGAATGAACGGGGGTTTTTAGTCAGTAAGAGTCAGACACTCTCTCTCGCCTTACCCGGGGCGGGAGAAGTTTGATGATTTTCCTCTGACAAAAAAAGAACATGAATAACGCATTTAGGGATCGTAGACAGAAGAGGAAGGAAGGCTGGGCTTCTGCTACAATCACTCATGCGGCAAAACACAACAGAATAGTGACTTCTTGCAGATTTTTGGTTTAAAAACTATCCTATGTCCTTTCTTGAGTTCCAAACTATGTCTGTACCAAATTTCACATAAATCGGTTTAGTAGTTTAGGCGTGAAGAAAAGACAGACAGATAGAGTTACTTTCGCATTTATAAGTTTGGATAAACTATCTCCCAACAACAAACTTTTTTTTTATTTAATAGGTCGGCAAACGAGCAGACGGATTACCTGATGGTAAGCAATCAGCGCCGCCCATGGACACTCGCAACGGAGGAGTTACGAGTGCGTTGCCGTTGCCTTTTAGGGATTAGGGATTTGGAGCTTTAGGGATTTAGGAGGTATTGGGGGAGGGGAAGGATTGGGCCTCCGGTAACCTCACTCACACGGCGAAACACAACGCTGTGGTTATTTCACGCCGGTTTTCTGTGAGGCCGTGGTATCACTCCGGTCGAGCCGACCCATTCGTGCCGAAACATGGCTCTCCCACACTTAAAAAACTTTAATCTTCCGAACCAATAAAACCACTTATAGGAATTAGGTGGCCATAAAAGTAATATAATATTAATTTCAGTAATTGCCAACTGTTAAATAATAAATGGGGAAATATCAATTTGTAACAATAGGTAGATATGTCCAAATTGCACACTGTCCATTTATTATAAAGAATTACATAATTGCAGAATCCTTTACACTAATTGGTTCTCTCTGTAAAATGCATCCAATATAAGTGGTTACTGTTCAGCAGCGTTCTGCCTATGCTTGGCACAGATGTCAGCTACCTCGGTTTCTTTATTTTTTGGGAGAAATTCCAAGATAACATTTATCTAACCATTAAAAAATCAGTCCTAAATGGTAAAAAATAAAAATTATAATAAAGAAATCATTAAAATTGAATCGTTCGAAAACAATTCCAACAACACTATAGTATAAGATTTATTTCTAGTTTCTATCTCAAAAAAATAAAAAATATTTGTAAATTGCTGAATAGCTGTTGCGACCTTGTTGACGTGTATGCGGACTCACTTGGCAAGCTCAATAAAGTCATAAAATCACTATATCGAGAGCCAATTTAGCCAACTAGTGTAACGTGTAATGAGTAACTGAAGGTTTATACCTTATTATATTTTTATATAATATATTAAAAAAATATGTGTTTATGTTATCGCACAATAAATCAAGTCATGTGGTGCTTACCTATAAGTAATTGTGACACTAGATTATGTATCTCATAAGTAATAAACTTGTAAATTATAGTGTTAACAGATGTTGGTGAGCCAATAAAAAAAAAGAACTCAAAATTTCTCCATAACACGATTCGGCAAACCAATACAAAGTCCTGGTTTGCGGAAAAAATCTTCGAAATTTTCCTTTTTCCGAATTCACGAATGTATTCGGTGACTTGAAAAAAAAAAGGTATCAATCTCTATGATATTCATAGCCTCGCAATAGCCGCGAGTGTAGCCTTTTTTGTCCAATATTTTCACCAGCCGTGAATCCATTTTTAAAACAATCTTTCGGCCATTTTGTATTTTTTAAATATGGAAAGGAATTTCACGTTTAAGTTTTTCGTAAAGACAAAGTAAATTTATATAAAAAAAATATAAAGAGTCTTCATTTTAATGGAATTTGTAAAAAAGTATGTATACTATTTCATTTATCCTAAGAAAATGTAAAAAATATTTTTTTTTAGCCTGTCACTAAATCGACCTTATAACAGTGTTTTATTTTGGCAAGTAAATTATTTTATACAAAACTATAACTCTTCTTTACCAGTAAACTACAAATAAAATATACAACAAAAACATTTTCACATTTTGATTACTCGCTATGACTTTTACACAATCCTGTCTACGTATTAACACAAAAAATCTAATACATTTACCAAATGTACAAAAATAAATGATATGATCACTTAAATTGTATGTTCTTAATAATATATATAACTTGTCACAAAACGTCTGATCATTACATAGTATAAAACAAAGTCGCTTTCTCTGTCCATAATACGTCCCTATGTATGCTTTTAAATCTTTTAAACTACGCAACAGATTTTGATGCGATATTTTGCTAATAAATAGAGTGGTTGAAGAGGAAAGTTTATATGTACAATAACATCCATTAAGTAGTAAAGAAATTAAATAGATATAAGCATTGCACTCGTGCGAAACCAGGGCGGGTCGCTAGTTGAAAATAAGTACCTACATAAAATAAATTGAACATTAAAATAATCCCCAAACACGACATCAGACATGATCGCACATGTACAAATGATGAAATATATAAAAGTATGCATGTTTCAATTATTCGAACGATGTCGTGTCGGATTTAAATTTTAAAATGGCGCCTGATTTTGGTAGCGTCCCAAAACTGTCCGGGTCGGATTAAAATCATGTTGATGATTAAGTTTCGTTATGCGTGTTTTATTGTTATTTGATTAATCGTTAAAGCTGGTTCGGTAAAATGTTTTCGGTAGTTTTATAAATCACCTATACAAAACAAACTATTAATGTTTGCGCATATTCCCAATTCTGCAACAGCCCACAAACACGTTAGAGCCTTGGCATGATGGGTCGGAGTGTTACCAGTGCCCGTGGCGTAAGGGCCACTGACACCCCGAGCGAAAATATCGTGGCGCCCACTTGAGGGAAGCAATATCAAGTGTTACATTACAATTCTGAGGGTGTTTGCGCTAGGAGAGGCAAGAGACTCCAACTTCAGACCTTGGCGCCCCCCAGAATTTGTCGCCCTGAGGCATCGCCCCATCACGCCCCTCCTAACGCCGGCACTGAGTGTTACTTACCACGGCCTCACAGAAAGCGGGTATCACATCCATACCTAAAGTTTTGCTTTACAGTGTGAATGAGGTTACCGGAGGTTCAGTCCGTCCCCTGCACCAATCCCTGAATCTCCGCGAGAGCCGACGGGAAATATCCATGATGAGATTTTGAATCACAATGTTTTCAGGTTACTGGTGACCGAATCCTTTCCCCAATACCTCGAACCCTAACCTTTAAAAGCCTACAACTCATTTATTTTCTCCAGTGTTGCACCTGCTCGTTTACTATCACATACAGAAATAATTTTCTTGATTTAAGGCAAATCAAAATCTATGAAAATAACTTTATAAGGGGGCAGTTTTGAAAAGTCTTTTTGAATAGGAACTAATTGTATATACTAAATGTTTCGAAACTATAACGACTTACTTAACTTACGCGACGACATTGCGACGTAGACGCAGCCCATGAACAAGAGTCCCGTTGTGACTTGAAACTAGTCGAGCTTTTCTCAGTTAATTCACGTGAGTAAGTTCACTTAAGTGTGGGAGAGACATGCTTCGGCACGAATGGGTCAGCTCGACCGGAGTGATACCACGGCCTCACAGAAAACCGGCGTGAAACAACCACAGCGTTGTGGTTCGCCGTGTGAGTGAGGTTACCGGAGGCCCAATCCTTCCCCTCCGTAACTTATTACTAGTTGCGGGTGTCCATGGGCGGCGCTGATTGCTTACCATCAGGTAATCCGTCTGCTCGTTTACCGACCTATTACATAAAAAAAGTTGTTTCCAAAAAAAGTTGCTTTCAATTTTTTTTTTCAAAAGTCAACAATATATTAAATCTCATTTAATCCTTTCCTACTCATAAAGTTGAAGGCAGACGTTTGCATGTTAATTATGATCAACTAATTACCTCTCGTTGAAGAAATATAAAACAAAATGATTTCTGCATTAAAATACAATGCAAACTTCAATTCGAAAAGGATTATGTATGGTTTAAAAACAGATTTTTATAAAAGACATTTTTTTTTATATTTTTATGAATAAAATCTTGCTCTTTATTTCATTTCTTTATATTCATCCTTCCTCAATCCACAAGAGACCGGCAGCATCCACGAGTGCGTACTCGTTACTCCTTTGTTGTTCATGGGCGGCACTGATTGCTTACCATCAGAAAATCTGTTTGCTAGTTTGCCACCTTCTTATAAGTTCCCTATAGATTTATGTGGTAGAGTTCATAGAAAATACGTTACTTATATTCTAATTTATTTTATATATTTGTGCTAGTGGCATTGTGAATCAGGCCCATGAAGGTCAGTTTAAGTGAAATTATCGAAAAAGGAATAAAATATTTTTTTGTTTTAAATTTCTCATAGTTTGTTGTTTAGTACCTAATAGGAACAATAGATTTACTGTCACTCGTCTGTAACGAGAACAATAATGAAACATATGAGTATATAACTTGGTAAACGAGGACAGTGTTATTCCTCATTTTTTTCATGTTTTATAAGTGGTCCTAAACTAAGCTTGGATGCGTGTCTCATGAGCGTGTTTCATGGGCGGCGATGGCCAATTGTTTACCTTCAGGGGCTTCAGGTGATCCATCTGCTCGTTTGCCGACCTACCCATACAAGAAATACATTTCCTATCTAAGTGTTTCAAATAAAACAGCATTTCTATCAAATCTAATTATAGCTAGTTTTTATTCTTACCAATGTACATTTTTCTTATCACAACCAACTAAACTATACACAAGCTTAATAATATTCTTTTCATCTGAATATATAAAGTTATTATCTTTATCAAACGCTAGACCGTAAATATTCTTCATGTCCAAAATCTTTTTGAGACCATCATATTTGCCATCAACGAAGACACCGAAATTACTAACAATGTATGTATCTCCTTCATTATCTTCAACAATTTGTCGAACAGTAATTAATTCATTAATAACTTGAGCTTCCATTTTTTCATTATCATATTTATATAAACCAGTTTTGTTAGCGAAATAAATAAGATTAACACTGCTCACATGAAAGTAATCGATTTCGAAATTTTCAAATTCTTTCACTGTCGCAAATTTTCCATCGTATTCTATGTGAAGCTTTTGATCTGGATAGCTGATGTAGAAAAGATTCTTTTTGTAGAATAAGGACCAGATATTTTTGCCTTTTTCTTTGTAGAAATCTGCTAGTTTGGTGAGCATGTTGTATTTGTAGATGCCATCGCTTCCTCCGAGGTAAATTTCGTCGTTCATTTGGTCGATGGCGACGGAGCAGCCTCCTCTGATACCTGCGATAGTTTGATACTCTCTGGTGTCGATGTTAAAGTAAGCGAGTTGGAAATCGACATCTGCGTAAGTTTCTGGGAGAGAGTAGCTGAAGAATAAGGAGTTGGAACTTCTGTGGACATTCAGGTTGTATGGTCTTCCAATATTGGCCCATAGTGTGTCCCTGTCATACCAATTGTCTCCTATTTTGAGTCGGTTGCATGCGATCTCTGGTAATGCTCTTGTCCGAACCGCTGCTGACATAAGTAAGTAAAGGCTGAGGAGCATGGAGCTGTACCTGCAATTTTACAATTTAAGAGATAAATAAATTTGAAAAAATAAATAACTTTACATTCGTCGAACGCCATTTCATGTTTTCTCCACACACCCCGTTTACTTAAATTGTCCTGTTCAAGTTTGCTGAAATTCTTGGACAAGGAATTTCTTCAAGGACAAGGAATTTCTTCAAGGACAAGGAATTTCTTCAAGGACACTTACCTGGTAAACTTAACTAAAACAAACCCCACCTTTAGCTAACAAAACATCACTTGAAGTATCCTGTAAAAAATAAACAATATTGAAATTGCTCCCCCTATCAGAATCCACACTTCATCATAATCCATAATCATCATCATCAGCCTGATTCCGTCCACTTATTTGCCCATCACACTTATATACTTAATATAATATAAGTTCAAAGACAAAATAAGATTAGATAGTACTAAAGCAGGAAAGTTGTCCAAGTCTGTCAAGTTGCGGACACAGGAGTGAATTATTAAGTAGATTATCAAATTTCACGGAAGCACCAGTTTGCTTAGACCCTCAGAGTTACACAATCACATTAAGAGATTATGTTTAATAATGCACTATATTTAAAAGTAGAGAGAGTCTAAATTATAAAAGACTCCCTAAAGGGAACTAGGGTTTGTTCAGCGTTAATCTACATTATTAATACAAAAAGAAATAAAATATTTATTTTATACGCTAAAACACAAGAGATATTTGAACAGATTATTTGAAATTGTAAGTTTTTAAACGACACAGGAGAAAGTCCTAGAATAAGGTAAGTTATTTTTAAAAAAACCTGTAAAGAGTACATAGACATAATAGAGTGGGTGTATATCCCAAGTATGCTTCGAAATCAGCACCAGCGCAAAGGGCATCGCAATTTTCTTTAAGATTTTTTTATTTATGTTTGTAATGAATAAATTAAAAAACTACTTTATCGATTACATAAATTCTTCCTACTATAGAAAGCTTAATTCACCCATTGAAAATTATTCGTTATAAACCATTAAACACAATTTAAAACATTTGCATTAGAAGTTAATTTCAAAACCTAAAAACAACACTTAATAAAAAATTCAGTGACGTCTGTAGAAATCTAAATGTTAATATGAAAAAATATGCTGAAGACACTGTTAATGTAATTGAAGCTACAATTAAATAAACAACACGATATAAGAAACACAGAAACCTCCATCAAAGAACACAATAATTATAGTAAAACAAAAATTAAATATCAAAAAATAACTAATTTTAAAGTCACAAATCAACAAAATTATTTCACCAACAAAAACAAAAAAAATACTAAAAGAAAAAAGTCAAACTCACACGATCTTAGAAACTGTTGTATCCATAACGATTCCAAATGAAATTAGAAGCAGAACTAATACTAGACAAGCACATGTTTCTTTTTCGAACACATCCGAACAATGAGGCTCACACTGTTATTAATTAATTGTTACGAAACATAACTTGTTTTGTATCTACAACCATTGTTTGCATCAATACTAAACAATCAATGATGATGATTACAAATATTAATCTCGTGTGAATGAAAATCTTTATTTTGTCTTGCAGTTGTTTAAAAACTTTAGTCGTCTAGAGTGATCTGTGTTTCATTGTTTATATTAAATTCATCTACAATTATTTAAGAATACTATCTCATATTTATAAATATCATTTTTCCACTAGATTCTTTCAAAGCAATAACATTAATCAATCCGTTTAAAAAAACAGAAAAAAATATTCTTTCAATTTTTTATTCAACAGTACTTTAAAATAACATTCATTATGTTACATTAACAGTATTATGTGCATACAAAAGTTTTAACAAAATTACTTACATACCTTCATTTCAACATTTCCATTCGTAGACAGTTTTTCTATTGACCATACCAAACAGCTATAAATACCATTACACATAAATGCATCAAAGTACTTAAGTAACAATGCCATCATTAACTCCACAAAAACCTATCATGAATTCGAATTTATTTTCACGTTTGTTTAAACTAAATAGAACTAACTTTTCAAAGTCTTCTTTAACGCTCCATTCTCTCTGTCTTCGAGATTAATTATAGCATTAAAACAGAGTCCACTGTATTTACTAGGATTAAGTCTGTATATTGTGTCCTTATCAGAATATATTACATGGTCCTTATCATCAAAAGTCATGCCAAAAGCCTGATCGATCTCTGCGACTTTCTTAACTTTATGATACGGTTTATCTTCAAGATATATTCCGTCACCTGCGCAGAAATATACGTCTCCATAACTATCCTCGACTATCTGACGGATAACGATCTCATCGTTTAAAACTATTGCTTCGTTGTTCGGCCTCTCGACTTTATACAACGCTGTTTTGTTTGAGAAGTAAACATCGATGTGCTTGGACACGAAGAAATGGTCAACCTCTATATTAATAGCTTCGGCTACTTGAACGAAACTGTCGTCCTGGTAGACGAAAAGTTTTTGCGTAGGGTACTCTATATAGTAAAAGTTTCGCCGGACAAACAATCCCCAGATAGACTTTCCCTCTTCGGCGAAAAATTCGGCTGATTTTGTGAGGAAGTTGTATTTGTATATGCCGTCGTGACCACCGAAATAGATATCGTCATTGCCCGCGTCATAGGCTACAGCATATCCCCCGGGGACGCCTTGTACTTCTCTGCAACTTTTCTTCTCAAGATGGCAGGCTCTGATACCGAAGTCTACTTGCGTACCATTTTGGATGGTATGGCTGAAGAAGAGCATGCCTGAAAACCTGCAATGAAAGCAGTTGTGTATGGATCCTATATTTAAAAATTGCGCAGGGAAAGCCAAATAAACGTAATCGCTGGTTTGACCTTGGACGGTAAACAATTAGATTTGACCTTAATAGATATACAAACACGCTAATGACTGTCAATTTTGGCGTCTTTCGAATTGCTTGTAGTAACTATTATGTAACATTATGCCTGTATAAGTTATATTTATAAACATAACTATGATGTTTCAAACCAAACCCCTTAAAAGCTGGCTGACCGTCCTCAATCAGAAAACCACAGACCTGACACGTAACTGAAATCGATTAATCTCAAGGTTTGAAATTCGAACTTATCGAATCAATAGAATTTATTAATCATTTATTTGTTCCAAATTTTCTTTTTCTACAATGTTTTGTTTGTTATTGTTTGATTAAAATGGTATTGGTGGTCTCATTATTACTAACAACATTGTGTAAATCTTATGACAAGTGCGAGACAGTCCCAACTCGAGAATTTTTGTAACATATTTACAATTATTTTGAGGAAATATTGCGAAATTATAAAGCTTAGCCGACCTAGAGATGTATCAAAACTGTGCAATATTTATTAACTGTAATTATAGGCATACGGATGAGTATCATTTTTTTTACTATCTAAAACACCACTTACTCACATAATATTTTATTCATGTGTATGCATATGGACTTAATATCAATGTCGAAGCCAACTAGTTAAATTATCAATTAATCAACTAGTCCTTTGATCGCAGTACAATTTGAGTAGCTGTTTTTTTTCTGACGGCACATCGATTTCTGCTCGGTTCACAGTTCTAACCTAACCTAACCTAGTTCTGGTACCAACTCGGTTTCTATGACCTTTCATCCTTCAATTTACAACCTGAATGATAAACAATTAGTCATCCAGGACGTAAGTTCGATACTGACCAGCAATATTATCTCATCACCAACCCAATAAAGTTTAAATGTGTCACATAATTAAAACTTTTGTTAAACCAAGTTTCTCATTCAATGACGTCATGATTGACGTTCACTTAATGAATGATCGAATTATGACATATAATCAATAAAGATACGTGTGAAGCTTCGGTAATGAATTGGGATGACCCTGGCTATAATAATATTGAAATATATTGGAAAAGCCAATTTTGGTTCTCCATTGCCCAAATAGAAAGGCAGTCCATTTTTAAAGAGATATGGAGGAATTTTGGCAGTACCTAATGGTAATCTTATATCCAAGGTCACAGGATTCATGCACTGGTAAACTTGGGTTAACATACGCCACCTATCACACATTATCAAGGTCATCTGTAAACCTACAATTGATTCAGAAAACCAAAGTGATTTTTTTGCTTAATGAGTTAGGAAGGACCAATTTGAGCCTTTTATAAACCAAAAGGACCACTTCAGCCCATAAGGACCACTTACTTGTGCATCACCAAGTTGTATGGTCTTCCGAGCTCAGTGAACAGGAGTTCCTTGTCATAATAAACGTCGTGAAATATCACTCCATCACACATAACCAGGTCTGTCTGGTTTTCTGACTGTGAAGCTGCCAGGAATGGTGCACCGGCCAGTAAGATGATTAGCTCCAAAAAGCCCATGATTTGAGACTGGAACAAAATGATTTTTTAATATCACGAGTAAATGTGATCATATGCCTTCTGTCAATCAGAAGAGACAGTCAAAACAACGCTTGATCCACAACCTCAGCTGACTTATTACCCTTACATTAATAATATCGCTTGAAAACAGCATATGTTGAAAAATGGTTTTGAAACATCACAAATGAATACTCCACATACTACTTACTAGATACCAAATCCACATCCACATTCAATACCACATATAAAACAAAACAAAACTAAATAATCGCAACTAAAAATCACAAACTCGAACGAGCGATAACGGAACACATATTTCACAAAAGTAGAACTATCAATAAATAATTCATTACGTACCGAATAAAACTCACTGATATACGGAAACAGCACGAAAGCTGTTTAAAACATCACATCTATATATTAAATAAGTTTGTCACGTCCGTGTTGAAGTACAGTGTACGAGTATAAGGAAGAAATTAAACAATAAAAAACATTTGCGATTCACAATTATTGTTTTATAAACAATATTTTATTGTTTAACTTTTGTTTACATACTTTTGAAGTGATTAGTTCCTCTTTTAACACTGGTGTCTGTTGAATGATCAAGGGTCAATCGTCACCCGACCAGAACCAGACCTGAGCGTAAGGAGGCCAATCAGATCCCCACAAAAGAGGCCTACTAGGGCCTGTTAGTAGTTGTTGATGAAAGTCCGATTGTGGTTTTGAGAAATTTTGTTCGTATAACATACGCACAAAAATTCTGTTTGTCTTTGTTTTGTCTGTTTGCACATGCTTATCTCCAAAACGAATGGACGGATTTAGATGAAACTCTTTAAAGGGGATTGCCCACCCACTATAGACATTTTGGCCCTAACTGCACACATATAATAAGTATAGGGAAATGATAATATGTAATATAAAGGAAAGAAAGGGTAAGGAATTGGTTTAAAAAAAAGTCCGGATTTTTAAGATATTAAATGGTTTTTATTTTTCAAAAATACAGTTTTTTAACAATCATTTACTGTAAGATATTAAGTTTTTAACAATCATTTTACTGTAAGACATTAAGTTTTAAAGGTATTTTATGATATTAGAGAGAAGTTTGTTTTGCTTACCGGGCGAAATTAACCCTTTTATGACAATAATAATTTTATTTTAAAATAATAATATAATAGTTTTATTTTAAAAGCTTCAATTTAACAAATAAAACTAACCCTATAGACAAATGTTGAGGAAAGTTCGTACAGAAATTAAGATAACAAAATATCTACTTTCATGTTTAATAATATATTTTTATTATGTACTCAGACAGACTCGTAGTTGATATATAAAACGCGTGATAGTATCTGTGACCGTTATTTCAAATGGTTTGTGTTCCATTTTGTTTGCGAAATGCGTTTTATTGTTGGTCATGTGAGATAGAGTTTTGAGTATTTTTTTTTACTTTTTTGGGACAGTGCAATAAGCAAACGGTCTGATCATCTGATTGTAAGTACTCAGCTGCCCGTATGCCCATGAGAATGACCTTTTTGGGGGATTTAAGGACTGGTCGATTTTGTAATCGAAGATAGAAGATCATCGCGGATAACTACACAACGACATCACTCATACGATGAAAGAAAACGCAAGTGCTGTTCTCCGCCGGCTTTTTGTGCGTTTGTATCACACCCATTTGAGCTGCTAGCTGACCCATTTGAGCTAAAGCTGGGCTCTCACTCACTTAAACTTATGATGAGTAAAGTATCCTACTTTTATTTTTAAATACCACAAACCTTATGTCCTAGTTGATGATAAGCTATTACCATAACTTTTGCAATACTAGAATTATCAAAAATACGTTTTTACGGAAGATAACAATCATGATGATCTCAAAAATGATCCATCCAGATCTAAAGAACAGATGAAATACAGTTACCATGTCGAAACTTTATTGATGTAATTTAAATATTATATTTAAAAACTTAATCCAGAATTCAAGGCTACAATTTAGCAGTGAAGCATTCATTTCCTGCCGCCGTACGACACTACACAACCGCGTTCCACACAACCACCAAATACCTCTTATATTAAACATTCGCTATAACGAATCACTGCTGTTTAGCCACATGGAATGAAAATTCACCGCCCGTAAGCGTTCCGAAAAACCACCCAGTGTGTTAACACAGGTGAATTTGCTTATATTAAAATATTTGCTTCAGTGGACATCTAATTTTGCAAAACGCGAATTCGTTTCATACGGTTTGTCTAAATTGTTTGGTCCAATTAGCGGTTCACGAGCCTTTTTGATTAAAAGATTGAAATAAATATTTCTGGGATTCTGGGTATGATCACAAATGAACGTTAATACAGATGAAAGTAATGGATGTGAAGTAATTCATTCGTTCATTCGGTTGACGCGGTGGCTGAGCAATTGGCTGCCGCGCAACGTGTCGCCAGTTCCACTCCCGCACAGAACATTTCTGTAAACTTGTAAACGCACCCATTACACGGGAGAAAATACTTTAAAAAACCAAAAGAAAGATGAAAATAAAAGGATGTGTAGAAAGTCTTTCTAGAAAAATAAGAGACATGATTGTGCTCTGGTCTTGGCTCTCCAGCCAATTCAATCTCATGATTAGGAGACCATATTGTGTGACTCTAAATGAAAATAACACCAATAAATTTTTTTTCACTGCTTTTTCGTTCAGTGTTAGAACACAGTTTCTTTTTATTAAAAAAAATATTTGGTCCATACTACAATTCAGCTGCGTGTCAGTTCTCCTTAAAAAAATACAATAAAACCGTTAAAAAATATAAGTTCTTAGAAAACTGAAGTTATACACCAAACAGTCTTCACCATTTTTTTTAAAGTTAAGATATCCGTAACTTGGTAAGCAGAGTATAATCAAATGACCTTCAGATGACCCTAAACTTTAATCCTATGCGTGGTTTCTTATCATTTTATTTCCATACTAGGTTCAGCCCGCGACTTGAGACGTAATCTTGATTTTCCCCTTACCCGTGGGAATTTTGGAAAACCCTTACTCTGTTAGTAGTGAATCTGTATGATACAAGAAATAAGCTTTCTTTAGAAGTATTTGCATGCTTGTCAGCGGGAATGCATTATAAGACCCGTTCAGTTTTTACGTAAAAAAAAAATAACAATCATTCATTCATTCACAAAGTTACAGTGCGGCCGACGTATCTTGGCGAGTCTGAAGTTAGCCGTTTGTCTGCGCAATGGATCTTTTAGGAACAAAATTGTGTACTGCGCAGCTAATAATCGGCTAACTACAGACTCGCCAAGATACGTCGGCCGCACTGTACGTTGTTGAGACACCTGCGGCTCGGACTAAGCGTTTTGCCTCGTCATTTATACCGCGTACATCGAGGGATTGGAACAGTTTGCCGGCTGCAGTCTTTCCGTCCAAATATAATTTAGGCGTCCTCAATTCTAGAGTGAATAGGCTCTTAATAAACTAGTGCGCCTTACCATCAACGATTGCATCACTGCATACCATCAGGTGGGATCGCAGTCAAGCACTAGTTTATTGCTAGTAAAAAAAAAGTTACGCGTTTATAACATTAGTAGGATATATTTTAATGTGGGAGAGCCATGCTTCGGCACGAATGGGTCGGCTCGACCGGAGTGATACCACGGCCTCACAGAAAACCGGCGTGAAATAACCACAGTGTTGTGTTTCGCCGTGTGAGTGTGGTTACCGGAGGCCCAATCCTTCCCCTCCCCCAATAGAGAAGCTTTTTTTTCTGCATTTTTTTTTAAATATTGCTTGCTTTTTCTGGTATAATTACTATATAGTATAAAACATAGTCGCTTTCTCTGTCCCTGTATTCCTATGTTTGCTTAAATCTTTAAAACTACGCAACGGGTTTCGATGCGGTCTTTTTAATACCCCAATCCCTCCTCAATCCCTAAATCTCCAAATTCCTAATCCCTAAAAGGTCGGCAACGCACTCGTAACTCCTCCGTTGCGAGTGTCCATGGGCGGCGCTGATTGCTTACCATCAGGTAATCCGTCTGCTCGTTTGCTGACCTATTATATAAAAAAAGCTAGAATTTTCTCTTGTGTCATAGGTGCATTGAAAAATTCGCTTTCACATAGTCGAAAAAGGTGGTACTATGGCCTTACAGAAAAGCAGCGGCAGTTTTTCGATATGTAATTGAGATAATGGAGAAATATTCGGGGGAAAATTGGATCTACAATCGTTACATTCCCCAACCCCCAATCCCAAATTATACGGTCCCCAAAAAGCGGTCAACGAGTTTTTAACTCTAATGTTAGACTTACTTACCATCAGGTTTAACATTAGCTTGTCTTCTAAGCCATAAAATTAAATAAAAATTTAACACGACCGAGCGAAGTACAATGTTTTCAAGTTAAAGACATGAAAGTCATGTATACCTACCTATTGTTCCGTAGCTCAAGTAGCGGGAGTACTAACATAGGAAACTTTTAACGGGCCAATTATAACGTCGCATTTTTTGTTAAACACGAAAATTACATGTCAACTGCACGTCTCTTGTAACTTTGAAGTTATTAAAAGTTGTAATAGACAATTTGTGGGGACGTAATACAATAGACTGACTTGTTGGTTTTGTGGTTATAAACTTCCAAGTACGAGGTCTTGGGTTCGATTTTCGTGTTCGATATTTTTTAGCTATTTCGATTATTATTGTACCTAAATTAAATAGGTGGTGTTAACGCAATTTTAAGTGTATTAAATAAAACATGAAATGATCAAAATAACACAGAATAAAAATATTCTTGTCTTAATCTTTTCTTTATTCTTCACTAGCACCAGAGCTGACAATGACGTTGCTTCATGGGATATTTTGACACTCCTGCTTATATAGGCATTCATATGGTAACTGAGCGGACTCATAATCACACCCGAAAAGCACAGAGGTCGGAAACGCGGTTGTAGTAACTCCTTTGGTATTACGAATGTCTATGGGCGACGCCGATCGCTGACCACCAGGTAAACCGCTCTTTGCCGACCTATCAAAT